ATTCTTTCATTGTGATTTTGGCATGTGAATTTCTTTTGTTGTTTATGATTCTGATATGAGACTTAAGTTGAAGTATCCTTCTGTTTATTTTTGGGGTGCCTAAGCTGATTGGTACAGGTGTCAGGTTCTCTAAGGTTTTTATTTTAGAGGGAACTGATGGCTTCAGATCAGCTTTTCAGGAGCACCCACAGAAGCCCAAATCAGGTTCCAGACAGGTACACTCAGGCTTCCTTCTAAGGTTTGGACCCTTATTAGCAGGAACTCAGAGAAAATTTGGAAAATTCCTTAAGGGGGGGAGCAATTTTGGCACTCTCAATTGGTCTGCTGTGTTCTCAGCCCCTATGCCAAAGGAAGGCCAGAACCTGGTACTCTCTGGTGGTGTTCTGAGATCACAGCTGCTGCACCAATGGAGGTTGGAGCCCACCCTCTCAGGATGTCTGCTAGGATCTCAACCTTAGCCTACCAAAGCCAGGTTTGCCTTGGGAGGGGCCTCAGAAGTCCCAGGAAGGGAGATGGGTATAGGGCAATTAGGGGAAACTCACCACCATGTGGAGGCAGGATCTGCGCTCTCTCAAGGCAGTCCCCTGTGTTCTCAGCCCCTATGCCAGAGGGAGGCCAGAACCTAGCACTCTCTGGCGATGGCTGAGATCACAGCCACTACACTGATGGAGGTTGGAGCCCACCCTCTCTGGGTCAGGGCTCTTGAATCTTCCTATTTATCAGGTTCTCTAGGGTGATTCTGACAAGAATAGGGAGCTCATGTGGAGTACAGCTTATCAGATGATTAAGTGGTGAGACACTGGGTTCTACATTCCCAGTGCCCAAATTCCATTTCTACCCCATGTCGAATGTCCTGAACAACTGGTTTCCTTCCCAGAACTGATCCTGACACTCTTCGGCTGACACTAATTTATTGATGGTCCAGAGGCACTAGGGTAGAGCTGTCAAGCTTTTTTGAAAAAGAGAGCTGATGTTGATACCCTATCTGACATGGGTCCTATAAGGCAGCCAATCTAAATCATTTTAAATCTCCCTCATAGGAACCTTCAGCTTTGCTTTTCTGTGCTCGCTTTGTCCTGATGCCTGCTGTGCCCTCCTAAGGCAGGGAGGGACTAAGTATTTTCAGAAGGTTGAGCTTTAAACAGTAGCATGGGTAGGGGAGATGAGAGCAGCAGAGAGGGTCTTCGTATGGAGCCTGAGCTGACAAAAAGAAGGAACAGGCTACAGCAGTTCATGTGCTGGTGGCCCATGAGGCTGGACAGCTAGGTTGGGGCTAGGTGAGGTAGAGCCTCCAACACTGGTCCTGAGAATGTGACTATATTCTACAGCTCAGTACAAACAGGGGAGGACCTGTATAGCCAACTCAGATCAGTTTAGTATTCATTTAACAGCAGAGCAAAGGTCTGCTCTCCAGCCCACACCAAGGTCTGGAATAATGCCCTGGGAAGTCAGGTTAAGCCTGGTGCACTGTAGGAAATGACAGTCATCTTCATATCCTTTCAGCAATTCCAAACTGTGGTGGTTACCTGGACACTTTGGAAGGATCTTTTACCAGCCCTAATTATCCAAAACCACACCCTGAGCTGGCATACTGTGTGTGGCACATACAAGTGGATAAAGGTTATAAGATAAAATTAAACTTCCAAGAGATTTTGTAAGTATCTCAGTCTACTTCCTTTGTAGCAAAACTTCCTAGCCATTGGGGGACTAACTTGGGGAAGAGAAATAATCACACGCCCTCCCCATATGTGGGTGCGTATCAAAGAATCAGTGCAGAAAGGAAAACACAGCAACATTGTTGTATTGAAGCAAGTTGACTATTTTTCTGGACATTCTGAGATTTCATCAAAGGATTGACAAAGTCCCAGGCTTATCATTATAAGCCTGAGACGTCATTGTAAGGAAACATTCTTAATCACTTGAGAGAAAATAGACCTGGATCACTTTGAAAGCTTTTACACCAGAGTTCCCCTTTCTTAGCCTAGAAATGGATGAACACTGCAGATTTGATTTCATTGCGGTCTACGATGGCTCGTCCACCACATCTGGCCTGATTGAACAAGTCTGTGGCCGTGGGACACCTACCTTTGAATCTTCCTCAAATTCCATGACTGTGGTATTGTCTACAGACTATGCCAATTCCTACAGGGGATTTTCTGCTTCCTATACTTCAATTTACACAGAAAACGTCAACACAAGTAAGTTCTTTATGATCCTTAGCTATTTTGAGCCCTTTGTTTGTTTTTTGTTTGTTTTTTTTTTTTTTTTTTTTTTTTATTTTTTTGCCTTTTTTTTTTTTTTTTTGTTTTTTTTTTTTTTTTTTTTTTGGGTCTTTTTGAGACAGGGTCTCCCTGTAGCCCCAGCTGTCCTGGAACTCACTATGTAGACCAGGCTGGCCTTGAACTCACAGGGATCCACCTGCCTCTGCCTCCAAGTGCTGGGATTAAAGGCGTGCACCACCACACCCACCCAGCGAGCCCTTTGAATATTATACACATAGACCCTCCTCAATTCTTAGCTCGACTGTGGCTACCCCTGTGTGCCAGCCTGTCATATGTACATAGTTACAACTGGAGGCTTGAGAATCAGCTCTGTTCATTGCTCAGTACAGGAGGAAGTGAATGATTTAAAAATTTTATTATTTTTATTTTATGTGTATGAGTGTGTTGCCTGTGTGTATGTAAGTGCACTTGTGTCATGCAAAGCCCACTGAGGTCAGAAGAGGGCATCAGATTCCCTGGTACTGGAGTTATGGACAGTTGTCGGCCACCATGTGGATGCTGGGAACTGAACCTGGGTCCTCTGCAAGAGCAGCCAGTGTGCTTAACTGCTGAGCCACTTTTCCAGTCCCTAAGTAAATGATTTAAATTGAAAAGATTTCTGTAGAACATAGGGACTGATTCCCTTAATGTCTTCTGCAAAAACATACTTAAAAATAGTAGATTTGTAGATTATAGCCCCAAACAAGGTGGAAATGAACTTTATAAATAGCTCATCAGCAACTTGGCTGTATTAGTCTCCTACCTACCATTTAGGGTAGTGATGGTTCGATATTATTTATTATTTATTAATTAATTAATTTATTTATTTCTGTGCATCTCTATTACTCTGAATATTCCCTACTCCTTCCTACCCCTCTTTTTCTTGACAGCATCTTTAAGTTGTGCTTCTGACAAGATGAGAGTCATCATAAGCAAATCGTTCCTACAGTCACTTAACTACAATGAGGACAACTTGCAACTAAATGACCCAACTTGTAGACCACATGTATCAAACGTTGTCGAGTTTGCTATCCCTCTGAATCAATGTGGTACAATGAAAAAGGTACCGTGAAACACAGCTGGGTTCTGTCCAATGCCAAATGCATGCTGGTGATGCCTGGGCATTCTGACTGCTAGTCTCTTTCACGAACCACAGCCAGTTCTCAGTGGCTGGACTGAGATACACATGCACGCGTAAATGCACACACTCATTCACTCAAATAAAGACCAGGCTGTCGCATTCATTTTCAGGGTAAGTGGAGGATAGGTGCTTTCTTCAGAAGGCAAAGAACTTTGAAACCCTGTTAGAGAGAGGGGCTCCGGGTGTACTAATCTACCAGGGAGAGTTGTGCAGAAAATGTTGACATTCCTTATTTAGTAAAACTGAGCTGGATTTTTAAGATTTTCTCATTTCCTTTGTAAAGGCAGAAAGTAAAAGCAACTTTATTTTAAATATGAAGGACTTTACTGTAAGTCTGTAATTTGTTCTGCATGTTCTAGAGACCTCAGTTGAGATCTTGAGCATGTCAACATTTAGGCCCCTTTAGGACTAATACTAATACTAATACTTTTCACTCCAAATATTAAATAACTATAATTAAAAAGAATGGAGGCTGCTGGGCAAGGTGGCAAACACCTTTAATCCTAGTACTTAGAAGGCAGAGGCAGGTGGATCTCTGAGTGTGTTTGAGGCCAGCCTGGTCTACATATTGAGTTACAAGCCAGTCAAGGCCACATAGAGATCCTGACTCAAAACAAAAAAGAAAAGAATAGAGTCTATACCACAGGAATTCCTAAGAAGTAAATAATATTTTCTCCCATTTTTTTTCCTTCCAAAAATGAACATGTGGGCTTTGTTACTTCACTGAGGAAGGAAGCCAAGGGTACACTGGAGTGGAGCTTCTGTCTATACACATTTGGAAAACACCTAGTTAGCCACACTGACTTGGTCCTCCTCATGGAAGACATATATCATAGAGTTTGAAGTCTTATTGAACCTAGGGCTTCATACATGCTATGGAAACCCTCCATCACTGAGCTATTTTACCAGTCCTCTTTTTGTTTTGAAATAGGCTCTCACTACATTGCCCAGGTTAGCCTTGAATTCTATAGCCCAAGCGGACGTCTAACTTGTGATCCTTCCGCCTCAGCTTTCTAAGTGGCTGGGGTTATGGGTCTATGTCACCTGACCCAGTAAGTTTAAAGGCTTTATAGAGTTGGAAATTTGCATTAAAATTATATTAATATAATGGAAACAAAATTCTACCTAATTCTGTCTTTCAGCCTTTCCAGTGCAAGCTCTGTCTTTCACTGTACAGTTTTTCCCGTTTGCCAGAACATTGCTTCAGTAAAACACCCTTAAGGTTTAAAGTATTTGACATGAAAGTGATTATCTCATTAGAGGGGATTTTTCAGACGTATTACGTGGCTTAAGAAAATTGTTACTTCCTGCAACTGTTATTCCTGTCTGTGCCCTAAAATATTAATGAAACTAAAAAATAACATTTGAATTCTTTCCTATCCTGCAGGTAGAAGACCAGTCAATCACATACACCAACATGATCACCTTCACTGAATCTCTGACGTCTGCAGTGATCACCCGACAGAAACATCTCCAGATTGTTGTGAAATGTGAGATGGAATATAATTCCACTGTGGAGATAATGTACATAACTGAAGATGATGTCATACAAAACCAGAGTGTCCTGGGCAAATACAACATAAGCATGGCTCTTTTTGAGTCTAATTCATTTGAAAATCCTATACAGGAGTCACCATATTATGTGGATTTGAACCAAACTCTTTTTGTCCAAGTCAGCCTGCATGCCTCAGATCCAAACTTGGTAGTGTTTCTGGATACTTGCAGAGCCTCTCCCACATCTGACTTTGCATCTCCAACCTATGACTTAATCAACAGCGGGTATGTATTGATGCAACTGATGTCTGATATTCTTGTTGTTTTTGTGGCAGGGCCTCCCCATAGGCCCAACTGGCCTAGAGCTTGCTATGTAGACACAGCTGGCCTCGATCTCACAGATAGCCACCTGCCTCTGCCTCTGCCTCCCAAGTGCTGGGATTAAATGCTGCACCACTGTGCTCAGCAAGGTCTGCTATTCTTTATCAACAGAAGTAATTATTTTTTCTTTTTCTTTTTGATGTGTATGTGCATGTATTCATGTGTGAGTGGGTGAACGCCTACATGTGTGTATGTGGAGGCCAGGAGTTGACAGTGGACCAGGCTGGCCTTGAACTCACAGAGATCCACCTGTCTCTGCTTCCCAAGTACTGGGATTAAAGTTGTGCACCACTACACCTGACTCTGACTTATTTTTTTTAGTAATCAGTTAGTTTAATTTTTCCTCATGTATGTGGTATGGGTGCATATGTATGCATGCTCACATGTGTGTTGGCACATGTGAGTGCCTGTGTGCATGTGTGGGTGCATACATGTGGAGGCCTGAGGTTGACATCAGGAGTCTTCCTTAATCGGGCTCCATCTTGTTCACTGAGGCCGGGTCTCTCAGTTGAACCTAGAGCTCATTGATAGGCCAGTACGGCTAGCCAGCTTGCTCTGGAAATCATCTGTCTCGGCCTTCTGAGTGTTGGAATTATAGGTGGGCACCACGCCAAGCCAACTTTTTATATGGGTTATGGGAATACAAACTCTGGTCCTTACGCTTGCATGACAGGTGCTCTAACCACTGATCAATCTTCTCACCTCCACTTTAGTTTTTGAGACAGGGTCTCACACTGAACCTGGAGCTTGCTGACTCAGCTAGGTGGCCGACTAGCAAAATTCAGGGACTGTCCTGTCTCCACCTCCCCTGCACTGGTTTTACAGATGTGCTAGACCTTGAAGTGAGTACTGGGAACTCATGCTTTCTAGTCAAGTACTTTACGGAGTCATCTTCCCAATTCCCAGTAGTGATGGGAACTTTCAATAAAGAATTTTTAGATGTGTATATATACACATTTTATATGTATGTATATATAATTTTTCCTTAGAGCTACTACTATAGAATTTTTTAAATGATTAAAAAAATACAGTTAGTGGGGCTGGAGAGATGGCTCAGTGGTTAAGAGCACTGACTGCTCTTGCAGAGGACCCAGGTTCAATTCCAAGCATGCACATGGCAGCTATGAACCATTCTTAACTCCAGTTCCAGGGAAATATGAAGCCCTCTTCTGACCTCCATGGCATTACATGACACAGGTGCACTCACATACATTCAGGCAATACACTCATACACATAAAATAAAAATAATAAATAAAATATTTTAAAAATACAGTTACTGTGTACTAACCACAAATAATTTTATTTATTTATTTTTTATTTATTTATTTATTTTTATCTTTTTGAGACAGGGACTCGCTGTAGCCCCAGCTGGCCTGGAACTCACTATGTAGACCAGGCTGGCCTTGAACTCACAGAGATCTGCCTGCCTCTGCCTCCCAAGTACTAGGACTAAAGGCATGTGCCACCGTGCCTGGCTCTAACCACAAATAATTTATGTTAAAACACTTATGTAGATACCATCATATCCCTTAGAATCTTAAATGTGATCATAAAGTATTTGCTGTTGTGAAAAAAATAACTTTGTTTTCTCAAGAAGGCTCTGTGTTTTTGCTTTTTGTGTACTTTGGCTATTTTTAACAAAGACTTGAAAGATCCCTTAATGTGTGCCATCCTTAGATAGTAATTCAATCAGAGCTGGAGAGATGACTCAGTGGTTAAGAGCAGTTAAAAGCATTGGCTTGTCTTCAGAGAGTTGTTATCCACATGGTAGCTAACAACTGTCCTTAACTCTACTTTCAAGGGATTTGACACCATTTTCTGGCTTCCACAAACATTGCATGGCATGGGTGTACTTACATGCAAGGTACTTACATGTAGGTGAAACATTCATACATGTAAAAATAAAAGAAAAAAAAGAGAAAGGAAAATATATGTAGCATTCTTAAAAGTATAAAGCTTTTTTTAAAAGTTGCTTTCCCCCCTAAAAGTTGGTGGATAATCAGCTATACTTGCACACTAATACCAAGCATGTGAGGAAAGGTGTTTGAGTCCTAATAAATAGGTGCCAATTTTCTGATAGTTCATAGAGCCAGGAATCTGAGAATCTGAGGGAATGGGAGAAGAGAGCTTTATTGTCTTCCTTAGGAACAAGACCCATAATTCCAGCTCACTAGAGTCTCGGGAATGAGAGAGAGAGGAGAAAGAGGGGAAAGAGAGGAGAGAGAGGAGAGGGGAGAGAAAGGAGAGAGAAGAAGAGGAAGAAGAAGAGGAGGAGGAAGAAGAGGAAGAGGAGGAGGAGGCAGGGAGGGGAGGGGAAGGGAAGGGAAGGGAGGGGAGGGGAAAGGAGGAGAGGAGAGGGAAGAGAGGGAGAGGGAGAGAGAGAGAGAGAGAGAGAGAGCTTTATTGTCTTACTTAGGAACCAAACCCACAGTTCCAGCTCACTAGAGTCTCAGTCACACATGTTGTCTTTCTAGAGAGGTTTCTGGACTCACAAATTGGATGCTTCAAGGTTTGTTCCGTCCATCCCAGTATTGAAAAGCTGAGCTTTAGCATCTTTTGAACCTGTCCATAAATTCTGTTTCAGATGTAGTCAAGATGAGACTTGTAAAGTGTATCCCTTATCTGGACATGATGGAAGATTCCAGTTTAATGCCTTTAAATTCTTGAGACATCTGAGCTCTGTGTATCTGAAGTGTAAGGTTTTGATATGTGATAGCAATGACCCAGCATCTCGCTGCAATCAAGGCTGCATCTCCAGAAAGAAACGAGACATTTCTTCATACAAGTGGAAGACTGATTCTGTCATAGGACCTATTCGCCTGAAAAGGGATCGTGCTGCAAGTGGAAACTCAGGCAAGAAACAAGCTCTTTTGTGGTCTAAGAACACCTTATGGCTCATAAAATGTGACTCAAAGCCATCATTCTTAAGATGTAGAATTTAGAGAGTTAAAATTGAAGTTTTAGCAATCAAGTGATGAATTTTAAGTATGCAATATAAATATTTCCATCAATTGATAATATGCATGCCCTGTCTCACATATGTATATATTACACTGATAACACATCATTATCCATGAGGTTTTTGTGCATACATGTAATATTCCCCTATTTCTAAAGACAAGTTTCCTTTAGCTTCCTAAATCCTTGTTATAGACACGCAAGCAGATTACTGGATTCAAAGCGGCCCATTTTAACTTCTAAATGAGGAAAAGCAAAACCACCGAGAATCCCGCATCGGGGCCTATTTGAAAAAATTTATCTTCAAAAATGGCCCAGAATTGAATTGCCTAAGATAAAATGAAAACATGAATAATTCAAATGTCTGAGAATCATTTCCCTATACTGAGGTGAAATTATGTATTACTCACTGGTGCATAAGAGTCATACGGCATAGGAGAAATTATAAATGTTACTGAAATTTTGTAATGCTACTACTTAAACATTTTTTTCAATTGCAGGATTTTTGCCTCAAACACATGTGGAAGAAACTCAACACCGGCCTTTCAACAGTCTGCACCTGTTTTCATTCATGGTCCTTGCCCTGAACCTAGCGATTGTGGCCACAGTCACAGTGAGGCATTTTGTAAATCAACAGACGGATTACAAATACCAGAAGCTGCAGCTCCATTAATCATGAACCCTGAGATGGCTCTATTCTCTTGGATGCCAATAAGATGGTACCTTGTGCCCCCAAAGGTTGCAAATAAACCAGGAAGGCTGAAAAAGTGACATGCAGGTCTTCGTGCCACTGTGACAATGTGTCTCATTGAGGGATGACCTAAGCGAACAAATACCCTGCCTCGTCACTCCTATCTTAGAAATTAAAGGCATTCCATGAAACAAAAATACTCACTTGTAAACATAAAACATTTATGCCAAGTATTACATCAAAAGGAATTTTTTAAACGTAAATGATCTTCAAAGTTAGATGTTTCTGCTTTTAAGATGCTAAGCATGTCAGTTACAAAATGTAGTAAATTCACAAATGCTACCATTCAAAATGACAAACAGGATCATCTGAAACTGCAGGGAAGGGGCGGGCGCCGCGGCCTGGGTGGTCCCTGCGCTCATCGCGGACCTGCAGCCTTAGCACCGCTCCACCCGCGCAGCTCAGACAGGGGTGTTCGTGGGAAGACTTCAGACCCGTTTCTGGGTTAATGAGATAAAAACATTTCTCTCCTATTTCTCTCCTATTTCCCATAAGGCTGATCAGATGTTTTTAAAAATCCCAAGGTGAAGTGATTTCACACATGCCAAACATTGAGGCTAATTATGTCAGATGGGGGGATGGGGGATGGGAGTTGGGGTGGGGGGCGGGACACCATCCCTCTGCCTAACTCACAAGTAGTTTCATGCTCTAAGATAAATCTAAGCAGGTAACCACATCTCGGGATGCCATTTACTCCTTTTATTATTTTTCTAGAAATGTATTTCTAGAAACACACCAGATGTTAGAGGGAATATACAAATATACAAACCACTTCAGTCCTCAGAGGCCTACTGATTTTCCAGCTCTAAATCAAAACATGTACCTGTTTTCTTTTTCATCAATGTCTCAGTGTAGACCTTTCAAATATTCCCCAAACAGTCATGGACCAATTTTCCTCCATATCTAGTCATATAACCTAATCTGAACTACTGCAAACTTCTTTTTGATCTAACATGAAAACACCTAAAATTTTCACTAGTTGGGGGCAGATAACTTTAAGTGCAACTGTCTGGTCCAGTCATGCCATCAGTCATCTCTCCATAGAGAAGTTTCTAGATGTTCTGTGCTGGCTGGCATGATAGATATTCAGAGGCACTTCAGGCACAAATACGTAATTCTAAGAAATTATCAAGTAGGAAGTAGCAGTAGAGAGGGCAGTGATATTACAGTGAGGAAAATAATCCTTCATGGTGGACAACTGAACCAGGCCAATGAGTTATGAGAGCATATGGTGATAATGCAAGATATTTTTTTTCCATTAGGAAAAGCTGTAATAATCCAGGTCAGGTGGTGGAAGCCTGTAATCCCAGCCACTCAGGAGGCTGAAGCAGGAGGATTACAAGTTCAAGGCCAAACTGTCCTACATAGTGAGTTCAAGACCAGCTTGGGACACTTAGTGAGACTCTGATTCACAATAAAAACTGAAAAGAAGGTTGGGGTATATACATAAAATCTTGACGGTACAGCACTTGCCTGTTATGTGCGAGGCCCTGGGTTCAATTCCCCAATACTGCAAGACAACACAATATAACTGTGGTAAAGCGATGAAAGGTCCTGGGCCTAGAATTGGTGGGCTGGGTGCTAGGTCTTCCTCCTCTCCTGTTCAGGTCTGCTGCCCAGGTTACCTTCATCCTCTGTCTTCATGAGTCAAAATAGGGTTGATAGCAACTACCATCTTCTGGGAGTGTGGTAAAGACTAAAGGAGAGAGCTCCTTAGCAACCAGGGGCACCTATACACCACTAGTCACTAGGGAAGAGTCCTCAGGTGACCTACCTTCGAATAAGAGCTGCTCAATTCTGTGAACTTGGACAAGGCAGCCATCTTGATGGTGAGTCCCAGGGACTGGTAGTGCTATGAGCTACTAGCCACCAGCACTACCAGAAACCCAGTGAAGGAGTGACTCTATTTGAGGGGCATTCGGATGCCACCTCTGGGTACCTACTATCTTTACTTCCTAAAACAATATGGATTTCTTCCTAGGCAAAAATATACTATGCTTCCAAGAAACTTGCATTTCAAAAAGGCTCAGAACAAAGGGACAGGCGATGTAATACCAGGCATGTGCCAGTTAGAGGGGCAGAGGGGGATCCAGCCTACCAGGTGGCCTCTGCTACATTGAGAGGGGATTACCTCATCACCCCTCAGCAAGGGTGAAAGTCCAGGCTCTCCACTGAGCCTGCTCAGAACAAAAGGTTCCGTTTCCTTTCCAAATAGAGGTGGATGTGGAAGTCTGGGCTCCCCATCTAGTCTGCATCTGACAGAAGGATGCAGATGAAGCTCACTGCTGTCCAGAGGTGGTGAGCATCCCCAAACACTCTGTCTTCTGACATCATTCTAGCTTGGGAGAGGGTGGAGTCTGGGCTGGTTGAGATGGAGGTAGGCACAGTGTTTGCATGACTGGAGTTAGGACAGTTTTTATCTGAAACTTTTCTGTCTTCCCAGGTTGGGCCTGTGCTAAGAAAGGAAGCTTTTTTCTTAGATTTTTTTTTTTTTTTTTTTTTTTTTTTTTTTTTGAGACATGGTCTCCCTGTAGCCCCAGCTGGCCTGGAACTCACTATGTAGACCAGGCTGGGCTTGAACTCACAGAGATCTGCCTGG